AAAGAAAGAAAACAAAGACTGAAAGCATATTATCATCGTATCCTCAAAAACTACAAATGAACACTGCACGTCACCAGGGTCTCGCTGGAGGTCCCAGATCCAATAACGCAGTGCGTTGGGTAAATGATCGCGGCTCAAACTTATGCTCTGGCTGGATTGGTCTGCCAGTTTTGAATAAATCCGGATGCTTCTTTCGCAGTTCCTAAAAATTTGAAATATATAAGTGCGAAAGTAAAGGTGAGAGCTTACTAAAAAAATCAAAGTATTATGGAAAGCACGGAATTCCTAAATTTCGCTCGTGGGATTTAAATGATGAAGGCAGTCAATATTAAGGTTAGAGCTGGAAGTTTATTATGGTTTTGTGACTGTTGGTAAAAATGAATGGGTTAAGATTATGGATGGATGGCATAAGAACTGCGATGCTTACAAATCATCAAAGAACTACAAACAGTATACCTGATCATCCCAGAAACGTTCACGGGGATAACTCTGTTCATTTCCTCGCATTGTTTCCCAGCCCTAAAATACTTTCGCTGAAATAATAAAATCATATGAATTAAATGTTTGTCTGATGCGCAGGACTCGTCCAAGAATCAAAATAAAACTCACCCTAGCTTCATATTTCCAATAATAATAGCTTGCTTCGATCAGAATCCACGCCATAAAGAGTTTTGGCACTACAACTCGTATCATTGTACCATAAAATATACCCTAAAAGAATTTTTAGTTCTGAAATTAGTTAAAAGAAATATGATTCAAAAACTATAATGTTATTTCGAGTTAACATAATGATTAGAAAATATTACTATGGATAAATAAATCCCAAAAGAGTTTAAGTTTCACACATTAGTCATTATCATCCAAAGAAGATATAATGCAGAAGAAAAAATTCTCAGAAAACAACAGAGAGATGGGAAATGCATCATTCAGAAGAATAGTGTCTTGGAAAAACTGGACAAACTCAACGACAAGATAAAGTTAAAAAAATTGAAATCTGATTTGATGCATTTAAATAAAATATTTCAGAGTATCCATCGACAGATCTAATTAGGACTGACAGGAAAATATAATCGGAGTGAATAAGCAAAATGCATAGAAATTAGGAAGAACAATATGTCGAAACTTACAAATGTTGGTTTTAAGAAATGTTTGTAAAGCTTATCCAACGGTGTACGGTATAAAATACGTATGGGATTAAGTTGTCTATGCACAGCATCAACGTGAATTGGCTCATCCGGATGAAGATGCTGATCCAGAACCCATTTCCTGAAATTCAAATTTAATTTATCAGACTTCAAGTATTGACTTAATATTTGAGTCGAAAAAATAGAGCTGGAACCACTCAAATCGCACTATAAAACAAAATGCAGAACAAAAGATTTTTTTATGCATTTCAATCATTAAAACAATTTGGTATCATTTTCCAAAACACTGTTTCATTATGATGGACTGCCCAATTATCTTTTCTTTATGCGATTGCAACGTGATTTCAATTTATGACTTCAAATTTTCTAAATTAAATTTCAAAATGATATGTTTAAGATGAATGGAAGAAAATGTTTAGTTTACTTTCGCCATTCTCTTTCCGCAGGAGTAAGACCCGCTGCTCGCGCTCGTTCATCAGCCATATGTAGTTCTAAACTCATTGGTTCATGTTTCAAATGTGGCACTTTATCACTCTGAAATTAAACGCAGTTTTTAAAACTAATGCAAGCAGTAAAAAGTTTAAATGAGAGCAAAAAATAATAAAAAAGAACTACACTAAAACACTATAAATCGGCATCGTTGTTTCGTTTTGAAAAGAAAATTTATTAAAGCAAGTAAAGATTCTAAATACATCAGTACTACAATTTCTGTTAATGAATAACCATCTTATCAGTTAAAGTCACACAATGGTCACATACAATCTTACAAGTAATTATCGTTTATGCAACCAAAATACAGTACACTCTGTAAGCTATATGTGTTTTGATGAAAGTCGAAATCTAAATAATACTTTATACTTTCTTTTATACATACTCTCAACAAAAACGCAACCTTTAAATCCTATTATTAAACTTTTTCTCCTCTTATCTACTTTACATGGAAAAGAAAACGCTTCAAGATGATACCTTCTGAATAATCGTTGGTGGTGGTAAGCCCGATCGCGTATATGGTGAGTCACCCTTCTGACGAGTATATGGTTCAATCTCGTCTTCATTAACTGCTGTCGGCTTATGGTACTGATTACCCATTTTGTAATTGAACTAATGTGGTCTAAAATTTCAGGAGAAGAGAAAGGAGTACGAGAATATATTTCCTAAGAGAAAGCTAAGTGAACCATACAGAAAGATATTCTGACACAATTTAAACTGAAATTAGAAGTCCTTTGTATCCAGAATTTAAAAGAAATATGAAGACAAAGACATAAAAAAAAATGTTCGAAATTGGTGACGAAAGGAAAGACAAAAAGTTTTACACATCGAAATTTGTGCACTCCGTGAAACAACTTCGAAACAACAAAGAACAAGAATGAATTTCACTCAATACACTTCGGTCTAAGTCAATTCCGTTGAGCTTGCAGATAAAAAGAAAAAAATATAAGATTAGAAAACGTCGGATATACAGGAACACAAATACTTGATTATTAAGTTATGAGGAGCTAAGTAAGGCCTTGAACTGTCATTACAATTAGAAGCAATAAGACTTAAAGAACGGCTCGCATATCAAACAAAGAAACGAGCACTTTTTCATGGGGCGCAGTTTTTCATCGCGCCCATCGCTTTTGGTTCTCTGAGCTAGTCCTCGATTGCTTCTCTCTCGGTGTTCGGGGGGAGTCGGGGGTCAGTGCACTCTTTTACTTAAGTGGGCACTCAAAAGGTTTATTGCCATTTACTGTGAACTTGTAGAGTTGCAGGATACTTTGAACAAAGAATGTTTCAGAGTCTTTAGATACTTCGAGATTAAAATGGTCAACTGTAAGTCAAATTTATCTCTATTATTTGGGATAATAGAGATAAATTTGACTTGCAGTTGATTTCGTTCTTCGGGTTGCTTTTGTTTATCTCGGAAAATTATCCATTTGTTTCAGCGACGAAATTGCGACATTTGAATTTCAGGATATTTCCACGTTTAGAGCTTTGGCACGTAACAGTTGGTATTTCTGACGAGATGCCGGTCATAGGAATCAAGAAGTCAGTCATCGATCGATATATGGGCAGAATATATAGTAAGTGCTGAAATTTTTTTGTTACATTGCTAAAATTTTGTTACTTTAATATTAGCAAAAATTTGGTACAACCACTATTATAATTATTATGTTATTGTTACTTAAAAAAATAAAAATTTGAGTAATTAGTTCTTACGAAGATTTGATTGCATCCAAATTTATTTGGCTACAGAATAATGCTACCTCAAATTTTTTAGCCCAAAAGGAGTTCGAGAATTTGTTGTTTGATTATGGCTTAGAACTCGATGAAGTGGTTCGTTTTTAGGGTTCGCTTTTTTATGTAAATGGCATCAAACGTCTATTACTTTCGATCTAGTTGGCGTGAAAATTGATATTTCTTGATTTAAATTGCATGAAAAGTTTGTTATAATTCGATTTAATTGATGCGAAAGATTCTGCTGTCCGGTGTAGATGACACAAATTGTGCTTTCTCTTTTTATGTAATGGACGAATTATATGTTAGATTTAGCATAAAAGACGTAGATCGGTAGTTTTGGCTTAAGATGTATGCTTAAACGAATTTGACGAAGACTGGGGAAATCTTCCTTAATTAAGTAACTTTCGTTTTGTGGTTATATTTTATTTCATTTTGAATTTAAACATGTTTTAGTCAATCTGTTTACATTTTAAGGATGCCACTGTGAATCATTTCTGGGAGGTGAAGTATTAGCCGTGTCTGGCATGGCAGCTCATCGCCGGTAGAAAAAATTAAAAAATTTTTATTATATAATTATCTGAACAGATTGATTTTGCAGACAAGCGAAAAAGCTGCAGCGCAGAAAGAAAAAGGATTGACAATGGACGAGAAAGATGTAAATAAATTATGCGACGAGGAAATATATAAAATAGAGTTGCCAGCAAATCGTTATGATTTGCTCTGTATTGAAGGTCTTTCGCGTGCTTTACGGATATTCAGAAATGAGTAAGTTAAAATATTGCTATTTTTTAGGACTATAGGTATAGATAGATTTTGAAACTTCATAAGCTTAATGTAAAAAATTTCAGTTAAAACTGAAATTTTTATTTAGGATGAAGCCACCAACTTATCAACAGTGTAGACGGTCTCACTTTCGACATCAGATAATAATTAAACCTGAAGTTCTGTCAATACGGCCATTTGTCGTAGGAGCTGTTTTGGTCGGTGTCAAATTAGATGCTGATTCTTACGCTTCACTGATTGATCTGCAAGATAAATTGCATCAAAATATATGTAGAAAAAGAACGTTAGTAGCTATTGGTACTCATGACTTGGATACAGTGCAAGGTTTTTTTTTGAATCCGTTTTATTTTGTTTTGAAGGGTTTCTATGGTATTTTCAGATTTTCTCTGAACGAGACTCTTTTGCAGAATATTCAATTTCAGGTCCTTTTTATTACGGAGCAGAGAAACCAGCTAACTTAAGATTCAAACCATTGAATCAAACAACGGAGTATACAGCAGAGGAGATGATGGTTTTATATTCCGTAATGATTTGATCTTCATATAACAAAATTAAATTCTGAAAATTATTGAAATTTCCAGCAAGTATTTTAATTCTTATATTCTGAAAGACATATGTCGTGATAGCTCGATCTGAACATATTGTGAGAATTTAAAAAAAAAATCTTTCAAAAGTAATTCATAGGTTGATTGTCATTGTTTTGTAGAGGGATAGCCATTTGAAACAATATCTTCCGATTATTATCGATAAGGAGCGATATCCGGTAATTAGAGACAAAAATGGAATTGTATTATCTATGCCACCTATTATCAACGGTTATTATTTATATTCTTCCAGTTAAATTATCCAATTTTAGATTGGTAAATTTTTCAGTCATATTAGGTAAATATTGTTTGTAATTTATAGTTCCAAGTTTTCTTTATGCGTATTGTTAGAAACATGTTTGAATTTTATTATGGATTTTACAATTTTTTTGTAATTTAGGAGAACACTCGAAAATTCAACTTAGTACCCGCAATGTATTAATCGAAGTAACTGCCACACATCTGGAAAAAGCTAAAATAGTGCTTAATACAATTGTATCAATGTTCAGCCAATATGCATCAAATGGAGCCGAAAATGATACTTCGTTCCTGTTAGTCTTCATTAAAGTTATTAATTTTGAAGTTTGAACTTTCGTCATGAAGGATGTTGTTTTTGTAATAGATTCGGTTGATGAAGTCCGGTGCGAAAATGTGAATTTTGATAAGTATTTGTACTGGAATTTTTAAACTCATTTCAGTGTTGAACCAGTGGAAGTTATTGCGGTCGATGGTACGAAATGTGAATACCCGGTATGTTTGTTTCGAAAGTTTGAATTTGTGTTTGACGAGCAAATAGGTTCTTTTAAATTGGTATTTATAGTTTTTATCCCATTCTTTTTAAATGTTACCATTAGTGGAAATCTTTTTTTCATCTGAAGGATTATGATTTCCTTATAAAGTAAGTGTTTTACTTTGGCCACGCTTTCTTTTTTTGGTGTTCTGAAAAGAGTTAATCAGTAATTTCGAATCGGTATAGCTTCGTGGAGTATTTCATTTTGAAATTTAAGGTTCGGAATTATTTGATTGGTTATTTCATAATATTTTCTTTGATAATTTAAAAACTGGAGATATCTGATACCATTTCTTGTCTCATTTTGCAATATTTGTTGTGTCATTGCGTAGGCGCAATGGGATATAATTGTGAATCACTATGAGAATGGTTTGCACGGGGTAGTATTAGATGTTGTTGTTCTACTGCAAGAAGGCTTCGTGAGCGATATACTGCTCTCTGAAACATATAATGTTCATAACACTTTAGAAGCAAGGAAGGAGATAACAAGATCACCATCCAGATTTATCTATCGCTTTGCCTATGTGTCGTTGATTTAATACTAGTAAATTATCCATCATGGTATGTTGTCTTGAAAGGATAATATTATTTGCACCAACTGGTAATAAATTCTTACTCTGGTATTAATAAACCGTACCAGTATGGGATCCCCCGCATCCATGATTCGACCATTAAGGATAGGACTACGAACTAGAAATAACTAAAAATTTATGAGTATTCAATCTTATATGATTTTAAAATCATTTTGAGAAGTATACTAATATATATATGTATTCAAATATTCAGGGTGTTATAAAATCACCAAATTTTTTGTTTCAGGATCTTAATGATAGGTCGATGATAGTAAGCGTTGATAGCATCAACAGAAGAATTGGACTGAACTTGAAAGCGGAGGAAATGTGCTCCCTCCTCAACAGAATGTCACTTGAAACGAGAGTACATTCGAAAGAGAAAAATCCAGATCTTCTAGAAGTAAGTTAGGTGTTATTATCCAGTTAGAAATGTGTTCTATATAATTCTATCTCATCTTATCATGATTGTAGGATGTCTTGATGTGTTTTAGGTCCGAGTACCTATAACGAGAGCTGATGTATTGCATGAATGTGACGTGGCAGAAGATGTTGCTATTGCATATGGTTTTAACCGGATTGAACAACAATTTCCAGAAACTTATACTACTGGAGAACCGTTTCCGTTGAATAAGTTAACTGACTTGCTGCGGCATGACATTGCTGCTGCCGGTTGGACTGAAACATTGAACTTTGCCTTGGTTAGTTGAAACTGACTGTAACAAATTATGAGAATTTATTATGAGAATTTATGAGAATTATGAGAATTTTACTGTTGTAACAAATTATGAGAATTTAATTTTTTCTTTAAAAAAAAGAAAACTTTCGCTTGTGATAAATCATTATATTGTACAATTTCAGTGTAGCCGTGATGACATATCAGTGAAGTTAAGAAAACTGGATAATCTTGAGCATGCCGTTAAAATATCGAATCCAAAAACGTCTGAATTTCAGGTATGATTGCCCATAAGAAAATTCTAGCAAGGTTTTTTTAAGGTCTCTCTTTGGTTGGTTTTAATTCGTAATTTGAATTTTTAGTTTTACCACTTTTTCATTTTGATTATGACGATAATATAGATGGTATCCTACTACTGATGTAAATTATGTTATGAATGTCAAAAATTTTTCTAGGTAGCCAGAACATCATTACTTCCTGGTTTGTTAAAAACACTTGCCTCTAATAAGGATATGCCACTGCCTCTTCGATTGTTTGAGATTCAAGACGTGGTTTTGAAAGACTTATCTACAGGTTAAATTTAAAACATAGTCGCAGTTTTTCTCGTTTTTTTCAAACGGTGTATTTCACTTTTTAAGATTAGTAATTTCTGTTTTTTATAATAATTTTTTTGCAGATATAGGCGCAAGAAATGAGCGCCGCTTGTGTGCTCTATATTGCAGTAAAACATCAGGCTTTGAAGTCATACACGGCTTATTGAATCGAGTTATGCAGCTTCTTGGAGTAAAATGGACCAAAGATGGAACAGGATATTATATTGCAGCTTATGACGGTACAAACTGATATTAGGAATTATGGCGATGGAAATTAATAATTTTATTTCGATCTGAAATTTGCTAAGATTTTACTTTCAGCTAAGTAATTTGCTAAAAATTATTTCAAGAAAGGATGGCGAATAAGACACCATTTAGCCGTAAATGTACCTCATGATTTTAAGAATATTTGCTGAGATACGAGAAAGAAAAAAAAGCGTTATTCACGAATAACATTTTCAGATCCTACTTATTTGGATGGACGATGTGCGGAGATTATTGGACCAGCTGGGATTTTCCTAGGTAGAGTTGGTGTTCTACATCCAGATGTGATAACTGCTTATGGACTTGCATTACCCATTTCCGTTATAGATATCACTATTGAACCATTCCTGTGATAAAATTCAATGGAATCTGATATTGTTGGTTGTTTACTGTTGTCCAACTTTATTATAAAATGATTATTGTTGGTTAATAAAAATAATAAATAACGGCTGTATCAGTCATTTTCACGGTAATGAAACCGCTTTTTATCGGGATATAGTATACTATTATAAGTAAAAATAGGTTTTAATGCCTGAGGGTTTGACGAGAATACTTGCTGACCACTATGTATCTAGCGAAAAATCACTTATCTCAGTGAATGATAGGGGGATAGTGTGCATGACATTTTTGTGTGAGCTTAAGAGACACATTGAATGTGTTTAATTTTCGAAATCTGTCTTCTATATTATAAAAACTTAATTTGGGAAGTTATTCCTTTTTTGATATTTCACTTTCATTAAGAAGCGTAGGGTTAAAAATTTGCTAAATTTTGTCTTAAAGTAGACTTTATGTTTCTAGTTTTTTATGTTTCTAGGAGAGCTGAAGTCATTTTAGCTGCTGGAATAAAATTAACTATGACAGATAAAATGTTTCCAATTTTTCAGATTAATTTATAAAAGTAAATGTTCAGAAGACTTCGTGAGTGATGTACTTGGATTATTTGTTGATCATATTTATTGCAACATGTACTGCAATAATTGGTGAAGCATTAACTTATATATTGGTATATCGTAGTGAACAATACAAACGTTTGAAAAATGAAATGGAAAGGAAAACCAAAAAACTTGAAAGAAAGGTTTGTTTCGATGGTATGCCGGTTCTTTAGCCGAAAACGAAATCTCAATTTTTTCTTGGGATAAGTTAACAGTTTAGTTTAAGTTTTTAACACACTAAAATATTTATAGAAATAAAAATTGTTAATCTTCCTGACTCGCACCGGTTGCTTTGGATGCATTTTTCTGTTATGTACCATTTTGTTATATCGGTATGTAACAAAATGGTATATAATTTTTGGGATATAAATGAAAATTCTTGAGTTGATAGTGAGCAAAATGAATAAAGTATAGATGCATCCTGTTATTGATCTCTCAATCATTTTGTTTTAAATCTAGAAAGTATTCAGGTAAGAAAAAATTTAGACAGTTTAAGTGAGATAAATAACTGCTTTAGTTGCTTAGATATGTTATAACAAATCCTATTTCTGAAGATGTACGAGTGGTAGATTTTCAGTCATATCTGAACGTTGAATATTTTTATGATATTATTACATATTTATTAATAATTCAAAAAGTATATCTGTATCCTGTTATCGATTTCTCATCATTCTGAGAACTATGTTCCAGAAAGAAACAACCGCTGAAGTAGATCGTACAGCAAAGCGAAAAATTGATAGAGAAGAAGAGAGATTAAAAGCGACAAATCGAGATATGAGTATGTTCAAGATGAAAAGTATGCTTGCAATTGGTTTCGCTTTTACTGCACTGCTATCCACGTTTTCTTCGATATTCGAAGGACGAGTAGTCGCTAAGTTGCCCTTCACTCCGATATCATGGATTCAAGGGTTTTCACATAGGTATGATTTTTGTTTCATTCGCATATAATTAAGTTTTATACATCATTCGTAATAGTAAATATTAATTAGTGAATTAAAGAGGATGAAGACACAGCAGTGTCCTTAGTAATGATGTGTGTATGAAATGCATATTAAAAGAAAGGAACTAGCTGAGGATAAGAAGGCGAAGTAGTATCCCTGAAACAATGTCTTGATCTTGTTTTAATGTTATTTTGTATGTTTAACACTACTGATTATAGATGTTTGTGCTTTATTGAAATATATTAATTAGTAAAAACTATAATGCACAATCATTACAGTTGCCTTGTATTCTATCAGTAGTAAGATATTTGTTAGACTCTATAATTTCAGGAATCTCATTGGTGATGATTATACGGATTGTTCATTCATTTTCCTGTACATACTTTGTACCATGACACTAAGACAAAATTTACAAAAGATGCTTGGATTTGCACCATCTCGTGCTATGAACCGACAATCACAGCCCAATTTCTTTGGTGCTGCACCATCGTCAACGAATAATTTTAGCTACCTTCGTTAAAATAAGTCATTATAAACGGCAACAACAGTTCAGTCCACCAAATGTTGATAGTACGAACTTTTTTTATGCTTGTTAATGACGTGAAACGTTACTTTTTTAGAATTTCCATGTTTTTCAACAAAAAAATTAGAATAAGGCAAAATATGCCGCGAACTATGAACATTGTTTCTTAAACTGCTCCATCACTTGAGTTGCTGTGGTAAATTACTTTCATTTTAAAACAGCTGCAAACAAATATATATAATTGAACTTTCAAGAGTATGGATTACAGTACTACAGCTCTTAAATCGCATCGCTTAACAACTTAGTATTGTGATCCACAAATCGCATTGATTCATATACTAACTTCAGCTATGATATATGTTACTTATGTTTATTGATTCATGTAATAACTATAGCTTATGATATGTGATACTTATGTTTGAAATTTTTTCAAAAATAAAATTATGCGCTAGCCATATTTCGAGACTATTTAATTTGAGCAAAAAGTTGAAAATAAAAAAAACATTTTTTATTTTTTATACAATATACAATGTAAGAAATTGCAACAGAACAGAAGGATTTTGGGAACATCTAATCTGTAATACTTTTGCTTATTAAATATAGAATGCAATGCAAAATGAATTTTTATACAATAGAGCGAGATATACTTTTACAAAGATCACAGTATCATCAAAAAATTTTAAGAGTTGGTTGAGTTACACTTTAAGAGATAAAACCAGTTAAGCCATGGAAGCAAGGATTTTCCGTAGAGAGTTGATAAGTAAATAATAGGAGCAAAAAAAGTGAGGGAAAGGAGTACCAGTAATGAATTCTAATTCCCTATGTGTTGAATGATTTGAAGGCTTGTTGTGGTATAATTCCATTGCATCGAGATTATATTCACAAGATGCCTTCAAATCTGCCTTCAAAATTTTATCCAGCTGAATGGATAAAACAGCTATTTCACATATTACAATAATTTAACATTGAATATAAATTTAGGATGGCAAGATTTGTATGTGAATTAATTAACCAGATGTTAAGATATAGATTAGGTGCTTAAAACATATAAACTTAAGCTGAAAGAATTTACATGTGAATTGGATAAGTGATAAAAATAGAGCAAATTTTTAGAATATAAATGGTTTGATTATTTTAGATGCAAAATTGTTTTATAAAATTGTTTCAGCTTTTCCGACAAAGAAGATCAAAATTTTTAATAGGAATAAAGGTATAGCGAAGGTTAATTTTATTCGCTAGACAAATTTTGATCCCAATTTTTGGTGAAAGAAATGGCATTACTTCTATGAGAATGTCCTTCTTTCGATTTGAAGAGTGAATTGAATTAAATCAATTTTTAATTTGAATGATTAACATTATAGAAATAATCATACCAACAGTGATCAATTTCTAATATTTCATAACTTCTGATTTCTTCTATTAATTCAGTAACCTTTACCGAATTGGTTTTCAAATTGCGTGGCCAATTCTTCTTGTAGATTTATTTCTTCCGAGCGAGATTCCTTTCGTGATTGATCGGACTGATTGTATCGCATTTCTGGGCAGTATTTTTAATTCCGCATTAATTCTTTCGATCTCAAATTTACTTACTTTACCTACATTGAATTTAGTTTTCTAATCTAACTTATAGAATTACAAGAGCTACTATTAGCTTATCTTCGATTAATTTTTGTTATTATACCATGTAATAACAATTTGGCAGTGGATTACTAGTTGATAACCATTCGATTAATAACAATAAATTATTTCCGTTTTAGCAATTTATTTCATGTATTTTCGATTAATTGTTGCTTTAATTTTAATTGTAGAATATGAAAAATGTATTGGAATTTTAAAATCAAATTCGTTTGGTTCAGCTTCTTCTTCATCGTTTAATTCATTCATAACTAGCTGATTTCTAGGACTTGAATTTGAGCTTAGGAATTTCGATTTCTTGATTTAGCGATTCTTTTATCGGTAATATTATCACCATTCATTAAACATGATTTAGTTAAATTATAAATTGATTTCATTTCATCATTTAATTTTGTTTGTTAAAAATAAATATCTGCAGTTTTTCTATTTCTATAAATTCCGTAAATCTAAACAAAATTTTCAATCATTCTATATAAACAACTTATTGTTGTAACAAATTTTCCGCTTTGCATATTAAGTGTTCAGTATTATTTAAGTCTGATATTAATCCATTTCCGTCATAAGGGAATATTTAATCTTCAATATTTGTGATTGATTGACATCTATTCCTATCCATCTATAGGAATATTGTATATCGTTGTTTATCATCCATCTGTTTGATAAGTGACATCTGTTTTCTTTTGAATTTATTCCACTTCCCTTTGACTCTTTAAATTTCTACATGAATGAGATATTGCTGAAATAGTAGTTTGATCAGAAACCATAGAAAGTGATAACCTGATAAAAGCCTTAATATATAATGTTTGCGTGCTGTTACTACATTTGATCTCAGCTAATATGTAGATTTGAATATCGACTATTACCTTGGCCAGTATAAAGTTTTGTTCTGCAATTTTGTCACAATTTCATTCTTGCGGAATATTGAAGGGAATATCAGATATCTATTTACAAAATTCTTTACTGTTATTGCCTGAACTGATATGGAAATCGCTAAAATCAAGAAAAAAAAACTGTTCATAATTGAATTTGACTTGCACATTGTTTTTGTTGGAATTCGATTTTTTACAAGCACTTCTTGTTCATCAATTTCCTGAACTGGAGTGTTGATTAATTTTTTAATTTTCTTCATCAATTTCTTCAGACGATACAGCACACATTCATTAGTCTGTTGAGAAATCTTCCGTATGACAATTCTATTAAATCACTTCCTACTTCTCTTTTCCTTGTTTAATTTCTTTTATCCACTTTAATTTCCATATATCGCAGGAGCGTAAGATTATGACCAAGTATTCATATTAATTCCTTCTCCCTTAATAACTTCCAATTAATAGCTCTTCTCATTGCTTTTTTTTTTATCATTTCAATCATTCTCTTATAAATTCAATTGCTCACATAAAATTGATGAGGTTCTCGATAGGTATTTTTTTAGATTATTGTTAGGAAATCTGTTAATTTCATTCATAATGCATCTTGAAAACTAATTTGGAATCACTAGCACTATCATCAGAATTAATTTAGGATAACTTTGTCGGGCAATGAACCTTCTTAATCTGTGCAAAAAACTTTGGGCAGATAAAATTTCCACCAATTTTATCGTCAGTTTTCATAGAAAGAAGATCCATATAATCTGATCCATCATTGTGTGAAATATCAGCTCGGTGTAATTACTTGAAGTATAACGAAGTAAGAATTTCACTTTTCGTATTTTTTCATCACGGTTTTGTATGAATTACGGTAAAAATTTGGATTGGGTTTGTATCTAATGCAATGCGCACTTCGAGTTTAATCATAATGTAATTGGTGTTTTTTTTTAAGCCTAATTCTCGTCGGAAATCCGAAATTAATCCATAATACAAATTTACCAAACTAAATTCATGAGAAATATTCCTCAATAAAATATATAAATTTATTCTGACAGTTAAGCCGCTGACGAAGCTGCATTTCACAATTTTGTCTTTGTTAAATTTAATTTCTTGTCATATGACCTTTTTGTGTTGCTATAATTCATTGAGAGATTGCCTTGTAACGCATTTGTACTTTAATCGTTTCTTATCTTTTATGTGAAACAAATGTAGCTAACAAGTAATTAAACAAACCCTTTTGTCCTCATCGCTTCTTCCTTCTCCAACATGATGTTGTCTGACCCTGGGGCTATCTATTAAGCCCATTATCTATCCTGGTACCGCCCCATATTGGGCATATAAAAAGTTAAAGACAGTAGGATAGCGCTATCTTTTCCATACATTCACTTCAACATCCGCAAGCTTATTCTTGTAATTATATATCATCAAATCAACTACTAAATTTCATAATTATTACCTCTCTCAACTTCAACGCTATCAATATTGTCGTCAACTGAATATCTATCCGATCCAATAAACTACATCAGCTAGCGTAACTTCCCACTATATCAAAGTCAACAGTGTCTGGAACAAACATTCTAGGTCAAGACCCGAATAACTAATCGAAGCCTAATTCATCAGATCGTGATCTAATAGAACGATCAACTCCCATCTCAAGAAAATACAACTAACCCGATAACATCGATCCGAAGAAAACCTCTCCTAAAGAAAAAATCCACAAATAAAACTCCACATAAAAACAAAAAACTCTCCTAAACTAAATCAAATCAAACAAACTCATTCGCGACAATTCTTGTACAACAAATTTGACAGCTCGTAGTCTAATGAGTATTGTTAACAGTTCCAGTTGAGATATAATCACACCTTCAATGGGTGCATTTCGAGATTTAGCGAATATTAAGAGTATTTCTGTGTCCTAAAAAACATTTTTGACAAAATATGAGAATTCGAGACATTAATGGATTTTGCATTGGCGTTGAAAAGTTTATTATGAGACGTACTGATTCCGTTGTATTTGTTAGCCAATCAGATATGAAGGACTCCCATCTATTTTTTTTTAATCTTTATTTGTAATTTGATATCCTTAATTATTATTCTTCTTTCATAAACTTTAAAGAAATACTTTGAACTTGTAGAGATTCTTCAGATTTCCAGAGATTGCAAGTGATTATTAAATGTAGCTGATAGTAGAAAAAGAGAAAATTTCGTTGGAAATGATAAAATTTTATATTTTCTTCTATTACTTATCTCCAAATATCTTTAAGTTATTAGGAATCGTGTAAAATTTCTCTCTGTTGCGATGTAATTCAAATTGCAAAAATGCCTTTTCTATATCCGCTACTATTACATTTCTCATAGTTCCATTAAATTGGACTGATGCATCATAAACTATTTTTAGCTTTGTTATATAGAGTAAATAATGAGTAATAATAATATGATCTATCTAGCAGCATACCTTTTCAGTTATAATAATTGATCGCGAATTATTTTATTGTATTT